GAGGAAGGCATCCACTGACAGGCACACTCCTGGGTCCCGACCCAGCACGGAGGCCAAGAATTCTCATGCCAAAGTCAGGCTCAGAAGTGTGACCGGCTGCCCTGTGTCTGTTTCCCTGCGTCTGCCATCGTTTCCGCTGTGGCCTCTGTCTCCCTCCTCCTCTTACTCTCTCTCTCTGCGTCTGTCTCGCTTTGTCTCTGTCTCTCTCACCCTTGGGCTCTGTTTGCATCCACCCTTTGGTTCGTCCCTCTCTGGAACCTTCTCCTTGCTGGGCAGACCCGCCTCTCCCCTTCTCTCTCTCCACCTCTCCCTCTTTTCCTCTGTCCTGATGGTCTTCGCTTGTGTGAAGTCCCTCCTCTCCACCCGCAACTTCAGCCACATCCTCTCTGTGGGCTCCCCTCCTACCCCTGCCCCCCGTCCAGCAGGAGACTTGTCCCCCAACCTCCTCATGGAGACCAGGAGACCCTGGACTCTCCTCTAGGTGCTGGGAAGCCAGCCCCATGGTGGGGGAGTGGGCAGTGGGTTTTAACCTCTGAAAGTGTCCACCTGCTCCCCCGGCAAACAATCTGAGTGCTCAGGTGCCTGCCAGGGTTAAGGTCTCCAGACCCGTCCCAGCGCCTCCTTTCCAGAGGGGCTGATCCTGTAAGTCCTCAACCCAACACTGTGTCCTCAGACCCCACTCATGGAGGGGTCTTTTCTGTTGTGAAGGGGAGACGAGAAGGAAAGGGGAGGAGGGGGTGCTATGCGTCTGGTTCCTGGGGGGAACACCAAGCTCTGACTCTAAAGACGGGCTTGAAGGCTAAAAGGACAGAGGGGGCACGACTGGTCACAGCATCCGTCCCCAGGTGACCCTATACTGTGTCACAGCCCCCTCTGTGCGTCCCCTTCAGACTCTGCCCTCCGTGGGCTGGGGGAGGGAGGGCTGACCGAAAACAGCGTGGTACAGCAGAAGAGGGAACCGCGGATCAGAGAGGCAAACAGTCGGCCCAGGACACACAGCAAATTGCCGGCCTTGCTGGGGTGGCCTTCCTCCTCCACGCCCACCTCTCCTAGGATACTGCCTGAAGGCATCTGGGCCGACTGCCAAATGCAGGCCACTCCTGCCTTCAACCCGCAGTTTCTGCATTTATAAATGCCTGAATCTAACAAACTTGTTTTGAGCATCTTCTCTACCCCAGGCATGGGGCTAGTTCGAGACCTGGATGTGGGTGGCACCTCCAGGGGGCCACCTGTCTGCCTCAGGACCACTGTTCTCCAGGCTCTCTCTGTCTGTGTCTGTGTTGCCCGTGGGCCAGGGCTGAAGGGAGGAGGGCACGGGCATGCTGGGGGGGCCGTGGGGTGAGGAGGGTGGGTGGAGGGGCCTGGGTTTAATGAGGTGACTGCCACTTGCAAATGAAATAGAAGGCAGCCCAGCTTGTGTGAACTCTGACCTCTCCTGTCCATCTTGCCTTTCACCAGAAGCTTTACGAGAGCGGCCCCTGCCTCCGAAGGGACCCACCGCAGCTTGGGGATGCTTGGCCTGAGAGGGTCAGGGAGGGTCGGGGTGAGAAGAAGGGCTGGGCCCAGGGCACAGGCTAGGGTTCACCCCAGCCCTGGAGCACTGGAGAATGGAAGGTGGGTGGGGCGCCTGGATTTGAGGAGGAATGTGAAAGTCGCTCAGTCGTGTCTGACTCTTTGTGACCCCATGGAATTCTCCAGAGCAGAATGCTGGAGTGGGTAAACGTTCCCTTCTTCAGGGGACTCTTTCCAACCCAGGGATCGAACCCAGGTCTTCTGCATTGCAGGTGGATTCTTTACCAGCTGAGGCACCAGGGAAGCACAAGAATACTGGAGTGGGTAGCCCATCCCTTCTCCAGCAGGTCTTCCTAACCCAGGAATGGAACTGGGGTCTTCTGCATTGCAGGAGGATACTTTACCAGCTGAGCTACCAGGGAAGCCCTGAGGCATAGATTGCAAAACTGGAGACTTCTAAACATGCAAACTCCCAAGCCCCAACCCTGGGGTTTCTGGTTCAGTAGCTTTGAGGTGGGGGCTTCCCTGGTGGCTGAGTGGTAAAGAATCTACCTGCCAAACAGGAAGCGTGGGTTCTACCTCTAGATTGGGATGAACCCCTGGAGGAGGGAATGGTAACCCACTCCAGTATTCTTGCCTGGGAAATCCCGTGGACAGCGGAGCCTGACGGGCTACAGTCCATGCAGTTGCAAGAGTCAGACATGACTGGGTTACTAAACAACAACAGCCGCAGGTTTGAGGTGGGGCTTGGAATCTGCAGTTTTAAAACGCTCCCATGGTGATTCTTAAACATAGCCAAGTTTAGCAACCACCATCGTGGACCACAGAGCAACGTGGCCTGGCCAGAGCCATCCTCTCATCAGGCGAGGGAACTTCAGTTCTCAGGGATGGTCCCTGGCTCTGTTTACGGGATGTCCCCACGCGTCAGGTACTGCACTTTGTTTCACAGCCATCACCCTGATGGGCCCTCCTCGTAATCCTGCAGGGTAGATGGCACGATCTGTATTTCAAAAATGGGATGGAGATTAAATATTAATAACTCACCCAAGAGGACACAGAACTGAGATTCCAAAAATTCTGCCGTTAAGTAAATACTATTCTATTGCCTTTATGGACCTGTTACTGAGTCCATGCTCACTTTGCTCATTGCCCAACAGGCCAATGAATCCAACAGATGAGGTGTTGAGGTGAGGAAGAGACTTTATCTGGAGTGCCAGCTGACCAAGAAGATGGCAGGCTAGAGCCTCAAGATAAGCATCTTACCAGGGTCAGCATACTGGTTCTTTTCTAGATCAGAGATGGCAGGAGGTGAGGAAGACCGTTAATCTTGCAAACATCTCTTAGAATGAATGGCAAACCTCAGTCAGGGGATGTGTTAATTTCTTCTTTCCTACCATCAACAGGTGGACAGGGTTCTGAACAAAAAGATACTTTAGTTTAACAGCCAGGCAAAGGGGCAGGGTTCTCTGGGGACAGATGAAGGGCCCCTTCCCTCTGGCTTGCCGCCCTCCTGCCTGCATCCCGCAGGGCAGGTTTCAGTGGGATCCACCACCCTCAGTGCTAATCTTCTGAGGAGGGTGTTATCTAGGGTTGCCCATGCCTAGAAGCTGGGCTCTGCAGGGCTCATGCCCAGGGCGATGTGTTGGCAGATTTAGCATAATTTTACCAACACTTCATTCATTCAAAAATGACTTTTCAAAAAGAATCATTTCTGGAGCACCTCCTGCTTTATATAGGTGCTAGCTTTGTTGTCGTTCAGATGCTTAGTTGTGTCTGACTCTTTGCGACCCCATGGATTGCAGCATGCCAGGCTTCCCTGTCCTTCACCATCTCCTGGAGCTTGCTGAAACACATCCAGTGAGTCAGGTGATGCCATCTTACCATCTCATCCTCTGTCATCCCCTTCTCTTCCTGCCCTCAATCTTTCCCAGCATCAGGGTCTTTTCCAGTGAATTAGCTTTTTGCATGCTGATGCTTCAGCATCAGTCCTTCCAATGAATATTCAGGCCTGGTTTCCTTTAGGACTGACTGGTTTGATCTCCTTGCAGTCCAACCGACTCTCAAGAGTCTTCTCCAGCACCACAGCTCAAAAGCATCAATTGTTCGGTGTTCAACTTTCTTTACAGTCCAACTCTCACATCCGTACATGACTACTGGAAGGAGCTCGCTACATAAAGTGGAGAGCCTGCGGTGTGTGATGGTAGGAAGCAGAAAGGATGAGGAGCTGGTGAAGGGTAAAAATGAGATGTGAGGAACTGGGGTTTTTCAGGGTGAGGAGGAGGAAGGAAGGCTGCCCTGTCTGCAGATTTCACCACTGCTCTCAAAGAGATCTTAGGGAGTGGCCTGGGAAGGCTCCTCACTGAGGATGAATGATGCAGGAGGTGAGGCTGGGGCACCTGAACCTTGAGGGATGACAACATCCCAGGTGTGCGGTCTTCACACAGCGCCAGGAAGGCCGTCCCAGCCATCCTGCCCGCGGGAAGTCTGGAGTCCCTTCTCCCCTTAGGCAAAAGTGTGTGTTAGTCATTCAGTCATGTCTGATTCTTTGTGATCCCATGAACTGTAGCCCTCCAGGCTCCTCTGTCCGTGGGGATTCTCCAGGCAAGAATACTGGAGTGGTAGGCATTCCCTTCTCCAGGGGATCTTCCTGACCCAGGGATGGAACCTGGGTCTCCTGCATTGCAGGCAGATTCTTTACTGTCTGAGCCCCTTTAGGCAAGGGGCCAATTAACTGTCTTACCAACAAGGATAGTTTTGAGAACAAAACTGACACTCAGCAACCACTCCCAAACACAAGCTGAAACCAAGACTGTCCGCAGGTGTCCAGGACTGTGGTTATCTACTTGTGGGTCACCCCCACAAGTTGGGGGCTCTCAAAACCAGGAGTCTGGGTTCCCAGTTAATGGTGAGAGCAAGTGACAGCATCAGGAAGTGGGGCAACCTCCTGCCTGGGGAGTCTCAAGGGACAGCAGGGTCCCAGTGGGGAAGGTACTGGGCAGGATCTTAGCAGGGATTCCAGGCTGTGGTCAGAGCACTGCTCTGCGGGGAGCTGCAGGCAACCCGACTCCACACCACAGTGGGAACAATAGAGCCGAGAGTAGAATGGGCGGGAATTGGAGGGGGCTCAGGGGATGGAGCTGGGCGAAGCCACTCTCCTCCCATGACTTGGGGACAGGGGCCCGAGGGAAGAGGTGTAAAAGAGGCTTCGAGGGGCTTCACAGGACAGACTTTCCCACCCTTCCACCTCCATCCAGCCTGAGGCCAGTGATTCCTATTTGTCACCTGGACCCTTGGAAGAATCGTTTGAAAGCTATTGGCCTTCTAAGAAATTGTACAAATGCTCTCCCATGTACTATTTTGCACTTCCAAGGGATTCATGCACCCTAAGAATCTTTATCCTAGGAAATGATGCATTCCCTGAGCCTAGATTATTGACCCACAGAATCCATGAGGTAATAAATGTATATTGCTTTAACCCCCAAGGTTGAAGTAATTACACAGCAATGAACATCTAACACATCTCTCATTAGCTTTTTCTGATGCTGTGTCACTTTATCACAAAGGATATTCTTCCCAGACTGTGGGGCTTGCTCCCAGAAGTTTTCATACCATCTGTACTAACTGGCTGTTATCATTTGCAGAAGTAAATTTCTTGACTTGGCAACCCCTCTCTGAGGAAATCTTGTCCTGGCTGAGCTACCCAGCTAGAAAATGTGGCCACCTAGACAGCCCCAGTCTAGGGGATACCACCTGGGAATTGACAATAATCAGGATACAGTAAAGGCAAGAGAAAACTCGAGCCCCACAGTCTCCTCTGCCCTTACTCACAGTAGGAGCTGTTTCATAGTCTTTGCTAGCCCCCTGCCTCTAGCATCTATATTTGTAGTTAGTAGTTACTCAGTACATGTTTGCCAATTCATTCGATCCAGTCATTCTTGAAGTTAAAACTGGGGCTGATGAAGAAGTGCCAGGCCCCATCAAGGGCACCTATTACTTAAATTTCAGGACAGTCCACCTGGCCCCCAAAAGTAGGGGCAGTCAATGTTAGGCCTTTGAAAAGGACTCATGCCAAGAGTGTAGCGAGAGATGATGACCCAAGTTGGCATCTGGATCTGCAAGGAAAACATCAGCCTTTGCAGTCTAAGGCTTTCATCAGTCTTCACCTTGACCTGGAGGCCTGGGAAAAGAGCAGAATGGTTTCAAAGAGACATCGCACTAATTTCCCTGGGTTCTCCTCTCTTTTAGGAAGGAGAGGAGCAGAAATTGAAGGAAAGGATTAGCGATTTCAGCTGTTGGGCTCTGAGATTCCAGTTATATTGATTAACTTTTCCATTTCCTTTCTCAGAAATTAGAATTAGAGGGAAGAAACCTTTGAAGTCCAGAAACCCAACCCTCTCATTACATAGATAAGAAACCAAGGCCCAGAGAAGTGGACAGACTTACCCAGAGTCACACAGCCAATGGGGTGCAAGGCTGATCTGGAGCCCCGCGCCCTCTCCAGATCACTACTCCCTGCCTATCCACCCCTTGGATGGAGTCAATTTATGGACATGGGAGCCAGGACATTTTACGTGGGTGCGACCACAGCCAGGGACTTTCCACACGCTGGGGGAAGCCGGCCGAGAACATGCCTGGGAGGGCCCGGGCCGTGGCCGTCTCCCTGCCCTCCCTGGAGGCACTGAGAGTTGGGAGTTCGGCGGCAGAGCAAGGCATGTTGTTCATATTTTCTTGGCTGGGCGGTCCTGGCAACAGCTCTTCATTTCCTGTAAGGGAAGGCCTTTTAAACTCCGAGTTCAACCTCTCTTAAGATGGGGTGGGGTTGGGGCAGAAAAACAAAATCCTCAGAAGTAGAGCCCCTTGGCTCTGACCTGGGTGCCCTGGTGGGCTGGTGGAGCCAGCAGCTAGCTGAGAGCGAGAGCCCTGTCCTGTGGCCGCGGGCTCTGGGCAGAGGTCGGACAGGCTGAAGGAGCAGAGCCAGAGAGGGCCACTCCTCCGAGGTGTCCACCCAGCTTGCGGTCAGAGTAATGAGCCTGGGTCTCTCCTTTTCCATTTAAGACTTGTCGCTGTTCAGTTGCTCAATTGTTTCCAACTCTTTGCAACCCCATGGACTGTGACCCACCAGGCTCCTCTGCCCATGGGATTTTTCAGGCAAGACTACTCGAGTGGGTTGCCATTTCCTTCTCCAGGGGATCTTCCCAACCCAGGGATCAAACCTGAGTCTTCTGCATTGGCAGGCAGATGATTCTTTACCACTGAGCCACCGGGGAAGCCCCCATTTAAGACTAATTAGAGGTTAAAAATTGTTTTTCCCACCCCACCCATGCCCCATGTTGGATCTCATTTCAGATCAGATCTTCTGGGAACCTCTTTGATCCCCCAAGTCTGAATCAGGTGTCCTCCCAGGTCCATGCAACCATAGTGTCCTGGGCTGCCCCCATCCCTAGTCTTTCAAGGACTGTGGTTGCCTGCTTGCCTGTCTGCCTCTGCCCACTGCCCAAACTCTGCTGGGAGACACCCCTGTAAGTGAATGAGAATGATGGGATGAGGGAGGGAGCGTCCAATCCCCTCATCTGGTCCCATGAGGCCTCTGAGCTGCGATGCCCAGAGATGGCAAGGACACCAGGCCTCTCTTTCTCCAGCAGGCCACTCCTGGGAGGAAGTCTGACCTTGGGCCAGGCAGGTCCCATCCAGTGAGGGTCAGGGTATGAGCCACTAACCCCTGGCATTGCCCAGCAGCTGGGAGGCCTTTTGGTTGCCGTGGTAACACCCAGCACATTACCTGACAATTAAGAGGCATTCCATAATGATTCCAAGGGAGAAATGAAACATAGCTTTTCATAGCCTCTTCTTCTATGGCTAAAAATGCCAGATCCTTCAAACATCGCTCACATGACATGATTTTCACTTCTTGTCTTGTCCTCTACGTTCAGTCAAGCCCTCTTGAGTTTTGACACCTAGAATTCCCAGCGTTCTCCAGTGTGGTTTGACCCACGAAGCTGAACTGTGTTGTCACTTTGCCGAGTATAGATACTGCTTTTCTAGAAGGCACTCTGAGGTTTTTAGCAGCTGCAGAGAACTTGGCCTCCTGTAGTGCGTATAGCGAACCAAAATTCAGAGGTTTTTCTTCCCAAATATGTTCTGTTGGTTTCCCTATCTCACCCTTATAAATGTGTGTATGTGTGTGGGTGGTTTGGTGGGTGTGTATGTATGAGAGAGACAGAGACTGAGATGTAAGTGTAGGGCCTTCCATTTATTCCTTTTTTTTTTCTTTTTTAATATTTATTTACTTGGCTGCATCAGGTTTTAGTTGCAGCATGCAAACTGTTAGGTGCAGCATGTGGGATCTAGTTCCCTGACCAGGGATTGAACCCAGGCCCCCTGCATTGGGAACATGGAGTCTTAACCACTGTACCATCAGGGAAGTCCCAGGACCTTGCATTTATTTATTCTTATTAAATTGCATCTTGCCCAATTTGTGTTATTGAGATCTGGATTTTTATTTATTTATTTTTTGACCAAAAAATTTTCGTTTGCTCTCAGACTCATGCCCGTCTCTGACCTTCTCTGTAAAATTGCCAGTGTGTACTGTGTGCTCAGCAAGTGCCAGGGCACTTTGTGTTGTTCAGGCACTCTGTTGTGTTGGACTCTTTGCAACCTCATGGACTGCAGCACGCCAGGCCTCCCTGTCCTTCACTATCTCCCAGAGTTTGCCCAAGTTCATGTCTATTGAGTCGGTGATGCTGTCCAAGCATCTTATCCTCTGTCACCCTCTTCTCCTTTTGCCTTCAATCTTTCCCAGCATCAGGGTTGTATGTGAGGATCACTTTATGTGGATTTTTTTTTAATCCCTCTCTAATCCTCACAGCAGCCTATGAGATAGGTACTTTTATTGGCCTCATTTTATAGATAACAGGATTCCCCAAGGTTATGAGAGTTAAATTGTGGAGCAGGATTGTGAACCCATCTATCTGACTCCAGGCCTTTCTGTTAACTGCAACAGTATGCAATCCCTATGTTTTCATCCAAATCATTCCCTAAAACGATGGGAAGGAAAGACTCAGGGGCAATACTGCCAAGGGGATCAAAGTGGAGAAGCCTGGAAGCAGGGAGTGACCTGTGTCAGAATGAAGGTTCCAATACACTAGAATGTGATAGGAGTGACATCATCTGTTTCATGCCACACAAACCTGTTTGCAAAGGACCCAGGAACCTCAGGGGAAGAACTCAGATAGCTACACAGATGTCCAGATCCATCTAAAAATCTATAAATGCAGGGAGGCAAAATGGGACCAAAAGAAATCAAAGCCTAAAATGTTGACCAGAGCCCTAACACCTGCAGTCCCTTTTCCCGAACACCTGTTAACACTCCTCCCAGCCCCTGCCCCCCTCCTCCCCCAAAATCCCTTTGCGAGCAAACTCCTACTGATCCTTCAGTCTCAGCTTAAACATCGCTCTTTCTAGAAAGCCCCCCCTGCTTCCCCAGACCATTTGGTCCAGCTGGTATAAGTTCCTAGGGCACCTTGCCCATCTACTAAATGCTCAGTCCCCTTGGAGCAGCTCATTCCTTGTCTGGCTTCTGCTGGACTATGAGTTTCACAAAGGCAGGGCCCTCACCTGTTCTCTACTCTGACCCAGCTCCCAGCCTGGCCCAGAGGAGGCTCCTCTTAGAAAATCAACAAATAGATTTTGAAAACAGTAGGTGGGGACTTCCCTGGCGGTCCAGTGGTTAAGACGCCTCACTTCCACTGCCGGAGGCACGGGTTCAATTCTTGGTCAGGGAACTAAGATCCCACCTGCCATGTGGTGAAGCCAAAAAATATATAAATTACAAAAATAAAATAAAATGATATGGACCCAAAACTTGCTTCTAACACACACACACACACACACACACACACACACTGTAGGTAGTGAAAGGAGAGCGGCAGCTGCCATGTCTTGCCTATACAACCCCAGCCCCAGTCACTCATCTCTCTCTGCCTTTCCTTGGGCTTTGCTTGATGTTCACTAGAACTGGTTTTCGCCACCCTCTAATGTTAACGGGAAATGAGGGCCCATAGAGCTCAGGTCAGCCCCTGTCTGAGAACAGCACTGCCCAGGTAATGCAGCCAGGCTTTCCTTCTGCGGTAGGATATTGATGCTTTCTGCCTCAAGCCTGCCAGCTTGGTTTGGCTGTGACTCTGAGATTTTTTTTTTTTTTTTTGTCCCTCAGAGCAAGCAAGTCAGTATTGGGAAGGTTTTTAAAAATGCCATTCAGGGACTTCTCTGGTAGCCCAGGGGCTAAAACTCCAAGCTCCTATACAAGGGCCTGGGTTTGATCCCTAGTTGGGGAGCTAGATCCCACATGCTGCAACCAGAAGATTTTGCATGCTGCAACTAAAATAAAAAATACAATTAAAAAGGATTCTGTGTGCAACAACTAAAGATCCCACAGACCACAATGAAGATCAGAGATCCTGCATGTAGCAACTAAGACCCCCTGCGGCCAAGGAAATAAACAAATATTAAAAAGTGACACTTCACAGCCATCTACCAATGACTCTGAAAGTGAGCATGAGCCTTGGGGAATCGGGGATTTCATTACACTGACGACACAGTATTCTGGGAGTTACCACCTGGACTCTGTATCTCCACGTGGTCCTTTGCTGATCACAGCACCAGAACAAGGCCAAGCCTCCCAGGTCCTCCTTGCACCCCGCTGGAGCAATGCCAAGTCCTCAAAACTAAGGGGAATAAAAGAAGTCAGCGAATGACTCTGTACTCAACATAGAATGTTAAAATTCCTGGCACCCTTACACTTGCATTCAATTTTAGTCAATTAGTGTTGACTATTTGCTATGTGACAGGCAATATATTGTATGTCATCTCATTTATCCTTATAACTCCATCCTGGATAGAGTAAGGATCACTATCTTCATCTTGCAATTGACAAATCTGAAGCTCAAGGAAGTTATAGGAACTGACTTCAGGGCCTCCCATCTTTGCTGGGGCCCAAGACCCCTCTGCTGTGTCCCAAAGCTAGCTAGCTCCAGGAGGGCAATCCCTACCGCCCTGGCTTTGGGACCACTGGGTGTGGACTTGCTTTTGACCAGGGTCTGATGTAGAAGCAGGCAAAAGCGCCACCGGGCACATCACTGTTTTGGGGAGCTGGCAGCTTCCTCCCTTGGCCATGTGAACATTTTCCAAATATGGGGAGCCATCTGTTGATGATGTGAACATTGGGCAACTTCCACTCATCACGAGCTTGGCAGCAATGGAAAGTGAGTCCAGAAAGAGCCCTTGTGTATCATAAAGGAAATTTAAGCCGTATGTTTCTCATTCATTTATTCTTAAGTCATCAAAATGTTGGTTTTAAAGAGTCTTTTGATGTCTAACTCGCTTTCTGCTTTTTTATGGAGGGGAGAGAGAGGAAGTCACGATTCTTTGGCTGTAAATTGCCCGGTTTGGGCAAAGCTGGAGATGATCCATTACCCAAATACTGGAAGAACTGAGGAAGCTCCAAGCAGGGGTATGTTGCCTTAGGAACCCGGGTGGGACTCATGCTCATTCCAAAAAAAAAGAGAGTACAATGGCTATTTAGCAAGTGTCAGGCATAGTGACAAGTACAAGATGAACAACTCACAAGCCTCTTCCATCAGTGTAGAGGGAAGGAGGAAGAGAGACATCTAAATAATTGACCAGGCCATTCTCCTGTAGGCGACTCCTCTGCCCACTGTCACCTTGCTCTGAGCAACACCGTGATGAAGACAGTGGCTGAGGAGTCAGGAGCCATGCCTGTGGATGCAGCCATGCAGTGGATGCAGCCATGGAGCTGGGGGCAGCATCTCAGGGTCTTGGGATCTCGGCTGTCTTGCTCTAGAGCTCCTATTCTTAAACTCTGCTGCCTCTAGCAGGAGAGGAGCAGCTACCTAGGTGGGGAGAAAGGGAAAAAAAGACTCTCCAGGTGGAGGAAACCACCCCTGAGAGGGGCTCCAGGAGGGAAGGACATGTCGCATGTAAGGAGCAGAAAGGCCAGGATGGACAGCACAGGAGAGGGACCCAAGGTGAGGTTGGAGAGGCTGGCAAGGGCCAGACCGTGAGGGCCGTGCCACCAAGGCAAGGCTGTGGCCTCTAACCTAGGAGCGGAGGGAAGGTGCTGGCAGCTTGTAAAAGCTCTCTGGGTGCCGCTCATGTGCATTCAGGGTTGAGAACCTCTGGGATAAAGATGGTGGCAGTTAAGGCAAGAAGAAGTGGACAGACCAGAGAAGGACCTTGGGCTTCAGTTTCTAGGACCTGAAGTGTTGCCTGGTGGGCAGGGCAGGGAGGTACTGATGATGAAGAGAGGAAGGTAAGTGATGGAAATGGAGACTAGCCAGATGAGATGTCCAGGGATGTCAGATTTTAGAAGGAGACTATTGTGTGGATAATACTGTTAAGACCAGAGCTTCCGTCTGAAGATCATGTGAGCACAGCTGTGCCCTGAAGGTTTTCCAGGCTTTAAGACCAGCTCACTTTGGTCCCTGTAACCCAAACATCCTAATTAATTTGTTTACAATACAGCATGGCAGTGTCACAACAGAGACAGAAATATAGCTCTAGAGACACTGGGTGAACCGAGGGACTAATTTTGCCAGGACTGTCAGAGAATGCTTTACTGAGGAGGTGACCCCGGCGCTGGTTTGGGGAAGGGTCATAGTTATTCTCAGGCGAAGGAGGAAGAGGATGTCCTAAGTGCGTAGGAGGGACAGGGTTGTAAAGATCCATTGAGTCT